GTTCTCGTAAGCGAGGAAGGATCAATACAATTTATGTCTTCTACACGTTTCTTAATGTTTCTATACTTTTTTTGTTTTTTGTTTTTTGGTTTTTTTGTTTTTTTGTTTTTTGTTTTTTGGTTTTTTTGTTTTTTTGTTTTTTGTTTTTATGACAATCACCTAGTTTCTAGAGCTTATTACAAAAAAAAAAAAAAAGAAAAAAAAAGGAGGCTCTTACGAAAGCTTTTACAACCAGAATAATCCACTGGACTTATAGATCGCCGAAAAGAAATTTCAAATAATCAATGATTGCATGTCATCGATTGTTTGTAACCAATGTCGAATCAATCAGGATATTTTTTAAAATAGCACTTGGTCGTATGGCAATTCTGAAATTATAAAAGAAAGAGAAAAAAAATTTGTTAATTACGCGCTCCTGCGATCACGAAAGCATGAGACTATCTTACTTTAAGCACGTCATTCTGATAGACTCTATCCTACTCTAGTATAAGTCGCTCATCGCGCGAGCGTACATTTGCATTGGCCATCCCCGTGTCGAAGGTGCCGCGCTATTTTCCATATCTGTAAAACGAGTAAAAAGCGCGTGGGAGGCACCGATGCAAGGATGCCTTGGTAGATCGGCTGTCCCCACCGACGCACTTAACTTTCCCTGCCGACGAATTTTCATTACCGTTCTCGCTCGCGACTTTCAAATCGAAAGTATCCCGGCCATCCGCTTGAAATATTCGACTAAACCGACGCGTTTACATGGGACGCGCGCGTTTTATTTAAACGGTCGGGGACTTTTCATTTTTCGGCTTAGTTGCCGCGCCCCGAACAATGACAACGATCTTGTACATCAACGCCGACGAATTGTCTATTGGGCGGGTGGAAAGCGCCGGGTTAGCGCTCGTCATTGGGCTCTCGGCGCTGATTGTCTGCAAATGCTCCATCGGGTGTGTAATAAATGCCGTGAAGGAACGAGGAAAGAGCGTCAAAGCCGTCGTCGCACTTTGCAGCGAATCGACCACTAGATGCTTGGAAGGCTATTTAAATACTGTAATCGGGGACTCTCCGGTGTCTGACATCACCAAGGCCGTTCTGCAAAATATTCAATCGGTCAAAACGGCTTCGATTCTCATACAGCAGGTATACGATTGTACAAAGGTCGTGTCGCGTTAATCATTGAAAGTCGACGATACATTGGCAAATCGAGTGGCAAAATGCAATATAATTATTTGTTGGCTAAGCGGGCATAATTCATCGAGAGCGATTGATCATTCATCTTGCATTCTTCGAGCGTCGAGTCTATGGATTATGGAGACATTAGCCGAGGGCATTCCATTTTTCAAACGAATTTCCATATGCAGTTTAATATAATAAAAAAAATGTCTTAGAAAGATGAAAATACTTTTAATGAGTCATGCGTGCATTTTGCCTTGAGAAGTCAGTTTTAATTGATAAATATTTAAAGCGAGTGAATTAAGATCGGTTAACTTGACAACGATACTGCATGATAAGCAAACAAAAGGAAAAGGTCGGATATAAATAAGAGAAATGCCCCAGTTGATCATTGATCTTGAGCCTTTGAATCCATTGTCTGCAATATATATTAATCAATAATAAAATCCTTGCCAAATTGGTAGACATTTTTTATCGAATTTTATAAGAACTTTATAAGAATCCATTTAAAGGTGCCGAATGTGTATTATTACAGCCTCATTGCTAAGGAGTTTTTATTCTAATTAATTAATGGCATGATTATCGAATCCTCGGATACGAAAACCTCGGGATAGGCTGAAACATTGCCAATTATACGGAATATCGATAAGCGAATGCTAAAAAAAAAAGAAAAGAAAAGAAAAAGATAAAGCATCCTTTTGTAGAAAATCCGTAAGAAATATCTGCTGGATGTCCTTCGACACTCTCGACGACATATCGTTTCGCGCTAAGAATGTTTCCTTGGTCTGTTCAAAATTCCAGCCAAGGCGCAAGTTCGTTTTATGCTGTCCGCCAATCTAACAACGACGGAAGCCAATAATTGAAGCAGCCATCGTCTTAATCGCTCGCCAACTTTCAATCATTTCAACGTTCGACGATCGGTATCGGCATTGAGTAGAGCGCGTGTTAGATATCTCCTTGCGAGGCGAGCTAAAAACGAAAACAAAACAATAAAAAACAGAAGCTCACATCCTTGCTTTAAGTTTCGGCGAGTATTAGTGATAAAGTCTCTGTTACCCACCATTACGGTGACTAACACGAAACATTAGAGAAATGCGAGATCTTCTTGACATCTGTGCTTCTCAAGTTGCTGGCCGTGCATGCTTTTGCAACATCTGCAAGTGCAACAGAATTTATGGCTTCGATAGAGCGTCACCTCCTACCCCCTACTTAATAACAATAGGCGTTTTATGTGTTTTATCGACTTGCTATATATTGGTCTAATTGGTCTCTCCGTTTCTCCCGCACACCTCTCGCCCAGCCGATGATCGTTACTTTTTTTTTTTTTTTTTTTTTTTTTTTTTTTTTTTGGTATTCGTGCCTCTATAGCTCATCGATCGCATCAAAGTTACATTATTTACAGTCCAATATATCCTTCGCGAGCTTGTACTCGATCGCTACCGACCCATTCTGCGGATGAGCGGTTACTCGTAAATGCGTCCAACGAATCAATGACTCGGGCGTGTGTAAATGATTTCATCGACATCTCCGCAATGGTGACAATTGCCGGCAAATCCTCAACATCCGAGGCACCTAAGCTGCGTGGAGTCAAGGGAAGAAGAGCGTTGCACGAGCGTAGCCAAGAAAGTGGAAGGAGGCCTGAAAAATCGGACTCGCGGAAGGAACGAGTACGTGAGTCGCATAAGCCCGGAAGCGCGGCTAATATTGTCGGTTCGAGGGGGGTGGTGCGGTGCGAGGTGCGGTGAACGTTCGCAAGCACGAGGGAAGGACGGGATGAGAGTTGGATGGCTGGTGGCTAGGCCTTGGCAAGGTTAGCCGTGAGTTTTGAGGCTGGCCGGTAGGTGGCGTCGGGAACCGGCTAGCCGAATCCCGAGCGCGACTCGACGGTCCCGGGCGGCCCTTTATAGCGTTGGACACGAAGAAAGGGGATCCTCTCGCTAATTTATGGAGAATTTATCGTTCGTCGCGGAGGTTGGGAGAGTATGGTACCCGTTATCTGCGTGCAGCGCATAACTATTTGGTCGACGAGGCAATGCTCTCGTTGCCGGTAAACAAAAATAAAAGTCGACCTCCGTGTCTTGTCTTTCATCTCACGTGAAAATGTTTCGTAACGAGGCTCGCCTTGTTTCTCTTCTTGCTGCTGCAGTGGAAAAAAAATTTCAGCCTCTCATCTTGGGCGCGTTTTCATTCTGACTGCCCTGAGATCGTCACGACATTACTCTTGCTTATATCGTAAGTATGAAGAATTCGATCGAAGACGCGGCATCTCGCCAATCCATCAAATAAGCAAAAATCAAAATTAAAAAAAAAAAAACAAAGAAAAACAACGGCTAGAAAAACATGAGAGATGGTAAGGATTCAAGAACGTAAAATTATCAATGTCGGATAAAGAAAAGGTTGAGGTAAAGGAACGGAAATTATAATCCGATGCTCGTCGGGCATTCTTATGGTAATTGTGGGGACAAGGAAGATTAAAGGGGCCTTGTAAATGAATGCAATGGATGTTTGAAAGCGAATTTAGCGTTTTTTTCTTTAATTCGGCGGCTCGAGCGGAATGTCGCTGGTCGAATAATTAAATGCGTGCCCTGTCGTAATGGAGTGTCGCGCACACGTAAATTTGGGGACCTGAAAAGGGCATTAATGTTATTATTCGCGTAACCTCGTTCATTCGTTAATAAAAATTTTTGTAGCAGATGTTTGCTAGTATACAGCGACTTGGATACTTTTCGTGAAAAATGATCGCGGAAGCATTAAAAAACAAACAAAAAACAAACAAAAAAAAAACAAAAAAACAAACAAAAAACAACAACAACAACAACAACAAAACCGATACGAGTACATTAATTAATCATTGTTATTAATTTTTCCATTTACACAGTCGATAAGTTGCTTTTATTATTGAATAATAATCGAATTCAATTGCCTCCTCGTCTCTGAAATTTTATATAAATTATATTTATTTTATCACTATAAAGCGTTAAGCCTCATTTGCCGTCATTACGTCGATAGCGGCAAATTATTTATGGCGAGCGTATTTTATAGATATCGGAAGGGAATTGGCAATTAAAATCAATATTATTAAAAATTGTTGTAAAATAAAATAAATATTCTCTCTGCAGGCCAGGAGCCTTTTTCATTTCGTGCATTCAAATAACGCACACACGTCTACGTGGTGCGCAGAAGGTGAGGCGTAATTTTGCACGATCATGTATCATACGTTAAAGGAATTGGAAAGATCATGAGGTGCCAATAAACGCAGCTCATTACCCGGTGATCGGGGAAATGCGTTTGCTTGATTGCGGCAGGAAGTACACATCGTCATTAGCGACGATCGAAGTAAAGGGGCGAGCGTGAATTAGAAAGTTCCAGGCTCGTGTAATACTAACAATGATAGCGTATCGATCGAGCGCTAGGAAAGATAACGAGCGAGAGGTGCGCGGTAAGGCGCGAGGGGCCGTGGTACGAGGTGAGGTTTGAGGAGGGGGCGGGGCGGGGCGAGCGAGGAGGGGAGGGATGCAGCATCGTAGGCGCAGGGGACTTGGTTGCTCGCGGACGTAATAGACGCTCGCCGGAAGAAGAGCCTCGGGAGCTCGACGAGGGCCAGCGTATCCGGGGCTCTCCCCCGGGAGTCCTGGCCTCAGGGTGGGGGACGGCCTCCGGGCCCCCCGGGCACGTTCGTACGCGCCTGGGAGGGGCTGGGGACGGCGGTGGTGGCGGCGCGTCGCGGGGCCCGTCGCCAGTCGCTCGCTCGCCTCCTCCATGTCCGCCCCACCCTGGCACTCGCGCATTTTCGCCTGGGCGCGCGCCGCGCCGCGCTAGTGTCAGTCGTGCAGCTGGTGGGCGCGAGCTCGCGTGCGCGCGCGCCTCCTGAACCGTGCGACCGTCGCGAGCGAGAGGTCCAGGTAGCTAAGGCGGCCGTCGAGGTGCATGGGCTCGAAGTAAGCTCGGCCGAGGAGAGGCGTCACCGACGGGAGGATGACGATCTCGTACGCGAGCGAGGTGCCGAACGGCTCGGCCTTCGGCTGCTTTTGGAGGATCCTCGTCAAGTGAGTAGAGGCGGCGGTGGCGGCGGTGGCGGTGACGGTAGCGGCGGTGGTGGCGGTGGCGGCGGCGATGATTGTGGCGGCGGCAGCGGCGGCGGCAAAGTGGGTCGGCGACAACGCGCTCGCGGTTAACGGGATGGTCCGCACCCGCTGCTAACAGCTGTGCGCGGGCGGCACTTTTGTAGGGTCTCCCGCACAAAAACGAAAGTAAATAAATAACGGGTAGGAAGATGGCGGCCGCGCTCGTTGCGATATGTCGCGCGGCGTTGTGCAACGGCGTATCTGGACGCTCGGGGGTATTGGGGGGGGGGGGGGGACTAAACGTCCTGAACGTGGCGTCTAGACACCGGGATCGGGCGCACCGGCCCCAAGGCGACGCTGCTCCTGCCGACGTGGACGATCTCCGCTTACATCCTCGCACCTCGCGCCGACACAGAAAGACAGACAGACAGTGAGAGAGAGAGAGAGAGAGAGAGAGAGAGAGAGAGAGAGACAGAGCGTGTACGTGTGATTATGCGAGTCTCTTTGTATAAATTTGTGAGAAAGAAAGGATAAAAGAGTCGTAGAACTTGGAGAAAGAGAAAGAGAAATAGAGAGAGATTGAGAGAGAGAGAGAGAGAGAGAGAGAGAGAAATACATTATAATAAACGTATTACATTAACGATTTCTCATCGAGTTCGGTATTTCCTTTGTTTAACGACTCAGCTTTTTTTTCTTGCCAGTTAATCCGAGTAATGGAAAATATTTAACATGGAACTATCCATTTCAATGGCTTTGTAAATCAAAATTAATTGTTCGTTTAACGGAAATGAATATTCTGTTATATATCATGAGATACGATCGAAAACATTCGACTCGTACTTCAGCTCCATCGTATTTCATACCGACAATTGTTATTTAATAAATCTCGCAAAAAATCGTTCCTATTCGCTATGTTAATTGATTTTAAACGATATTCTTACAAATACATTGGTTGCATATGTGCGCGCGCGCGCACGCACGTGCCAACACATTTGTATACTTTTTCAACAACATGTAATCAATGTGAAAGTAAAATTACGTTTTTTCTTAAACCTCATAGACGTTTAATTGTTATTGTTGTATTTTTTTTC